TTTCTGTACGCACCCTTTAAAAAAAAGCACATAGTTTCTGAACATCATTTTTGCCCGACTTGCCCCTCGCTGGCACTGAATTATGCAAACTAGAAACAGCATGCATCTTCCAGTTCAGGATGTTGCGCAATTTCAATCTTTTCTGTTAAATGAAAAATATCAGGTGCAGTAGTTGAATCCAAGCTGCAGAAAATGCAAATTAAGTTGGCATGACGAGGTCGTTTTAAAGTTTAAGCATTTCACTGGTAAGATTTCACTATATAACGCATTGTTCTGAAATCATGACGGAAATGGTATAGACGCAAAGCTTGAAGAATCAAATTGCAACAAATCAGACAACGCACGAAGTGCGAAACAACGGGGTAAAATTTACGGAATTCCACGATTTACTCTGGAAAAATGAACCTCATCTCCGAATGTACGGCTCTGGATTTTTTAAATTCATCATTTGATTGTGAAAGTTTGTGGAATCCCGGATGAGACGAGACGTGTCTGATGCTAATTGGTGTATCGACTCAAATATCTTTATAGTTAATGCTGATGTAACGATTTTTCCATTATTACTAGGAATTGTTTCTGAGTCCCGGCGAACCACGTTTACAAGCATTCCAATATGCTTTCATTCAGATACTGTACAGGGTAACTAATTGAACGCATGACACGTAGTTTGATAAATTTCAACTTCGCATTCTGATTTTTCATCCACGTCATACCACATCTTATCCCATTTTCTTTTACTTATTTCCTTCTTTCCGTCTTCATCTTATGAAGAAGTCTATGCAAGAGTTTAGAATTACATTCATTATCTAAGGCCAATTCAGTTTTTCAACAAATATTTTGAAATGGGTTCCTGGCCGTTGTGTACGAAATTGTGAAAGAGTTCTCCAGTTTCAGAACTTTATACTGTATACTCATAATACTGTAGTCATAAATCATATCTACTTGAGTCAACCCAGTCGGAGGAGCGGTGCATGATTTGAATTATTGCAGCCGCATCCTGTTTTAATTGACAATATTTGAGACATTATCTACAGGTCAACACAACTTTCACTATATTGTACTATCAAATTTATGTTGTTCTTCCCTGAAAGGAAAAAATGAAACCACAGGGAATCAAGGTACGGTGGAGATGAAAGTACTGGAATAAAATGCTGTAAAGGCATCTGTGAAGTCGGGCTTTTAAACCACGAACACAAACGAAACAGGAACTTTTGTTATGAGGGCAACCACATTACTATGGAAATGTTTCTATGATTGCCATGAAGCAGTGGAAAACACCGAGGGTATTACACAAAGATCGAATTATTTCGGGCGGAAATCAGGACTGGAACCAAAAACAAAAGACTAAAATATACAGTGTGGGCTAAAAAAGTGAACTTAAATAAAATTAGGATATCTACATTAAAGTTAAGCTAAAACAATGAAAAACACCAAATTAAAGCGTATTAAATTGTCTATCAAATGTTTTTTGGTTTTTAGTTCTTACTTCTTAGTGTCATCAAATGATCAGAAAAACCATTTGAATGAAAACTTTAAAAAAAAAATGATGTCACCTGACCCTTCTTGCTAAGCTGCTGTCTCCACAATCTCCCAAAAATTACCTTAAAGTTAGGACAACCCTCATCAGTGCACCAGAAACAAAATCCACGATAATTACAGACATGAAAATTAATAAGCCCATAAAACCCCACCCCGGTAAAGACCAGCCTTATGCTTCATTTGGCCCAACACGAGCAATCGCGATACTTTTCCAAGAAAGAAGCTAAGTTTGAAATACTGTAATAGAAAAAATATGCATAAAAAATGCAGTATACAGATTTTTTTAAAGTTCCCCTGCTGTAAAAATGGATTCAAAATGGGCCTGTTTTATTTCACATAAATTTACAGTATATTGACCCAAAACGTTATCATAGTTGTGCTGTCATGAAGTCATGATAGCTGAGACACATTAGAGGAACTTTTCATCAGTTTAGTTTCTTCTATTCGTATTACTGTATTGTAACTCATTGCAATGAAAATCTTGGGACCTGAGAAAAAGGGCATATTACGAAAAAGGTTGTGCTAAATCAAAAGTTCACGACTCAAAGTTTTCAGCTCATCTTTGACAATTATAATATAATGTATGATATCTTTCAAAAACAATACTGCACTGCACTCTTAAAGGTTCCCACAAAAAAATAAAGTTTTGTTACAGTACATGTATTTCCAATACTGAGTTTCGTACGAAAGGAAATGAAAAAATAAGTGTAAAATACCGTGCTCTGAGATTAAAACTACCCTGCCGCAGATTTAATGAAAATGTGCTGTTCTAACTGAAATAAGAATTCAGACTGTAATTATGAAAATGAAAGGCGGCGTATTTATTAATTGCTGCTTATGCTCCATAAAATCGAGTAATCTTCCTTGATATACAGAGCGTTGCTTCCTTCGAAAAAGGAGCAATTGCTGAAGCTTAAAATGAAGTTAGAGAACCTATAAAAAGCATATTCTCCCGCAAATTTTTTTTCCAGACTAACTTTTCTTCGTAAGAAGAAGTTGTTGAATGTCTTCTTGTATGATTAAATTTAAATGCGAGTGATGTTTGATAATTTTTCTGTAGATTTTCAAAAAATTCATACGACCGATGGACATATAATCAGGATCAGCAAGTTGTTGGACTCGTTGAAGAGAGGGAATAATTTTGTTCCAAAATGTGTTCCTAAACTTTCTTCTATGTAGAAACTACTGTGGGAACTTTCAAAAAGCTAAGTAACGACTGATCCTTTGGTATCACAAAATTTTTGCAAAAAGAATTTATCTTTACATAATTGCGTTGATTTTGCGCAGTACGCTATTTTTGTTTGCCTGCTGCATCATAAATCATTTGGCCGCATCGGGGTCATTGAAGATGATGGCGGGGTTTCATGTTTGTTTTGGTACATACTCCATCATCCAAAACATACCGAATGTATGCGTGCTAACTCATCCACGAGTATCACGACTCACGTATGTACGAGTATCTAAATTCTCAATTGAAGCACTTGACCGATCAGATCGGAATCCAGATACATTATATCGCGTGCATGGAAGATGATTCCGGCGATGTCTCCTATTTTTTATTCTTGCGATTCTGTCTCGTGAAAAATACATTTAAAAAACTGAATATATGAAGCAAATGTACTGTACTGTATGTGCTTTGGAAAATTCAGATGCAATTGGCTTATTCGTTGCAATATTTAATTTTGCAAGGTTGTCAAATTGATATGAACATACATCATTGACGAAGTAAGGAACATTTTCCCACAAAAAAGTTGCCGAATTTACAGGACATGCTCACATCTGCCTGACCACCTTTATTGGTTACAAATACTGTGGCCAGGCCGGGAAAGGAAATTAATACTGGACATAAAATAATTATTATATAGTTCTTACTGTAGAGGCTGGAACCACAGCCACCCGAAGATTAGTGCAAACACGATGCAGGAACGACTCCTTCATGAGTTCAAATCTTTCTCTATTTCGTTTAAAACAAAACTGCATAGGTGTCGCTACAAAGATTGTAATTGTCAGTTCCCGCTGGAGACGGAAAGATGTGAGAAGAGGAGTTCTTTGAGTGACGCAGCAGTGGAATTATTTCTTCAGTGAATGGACGATGCACAAAAAAAACAAATTTATAGAAAGCTAGTTCAATCTAATCTTCATTTTTTAGAAGCTGCAAACAAAAGTGACAGTTTCAGCTCTACAAACTTGCATGCGAATAAAACATTCGAAGACACCCATCCCTGGAAGTCCTGGGAACCATCTAAAAAAAAAAGAAGCTCCAAGCACCACTCTGTAATGGAATATAACCCTCGACTGTTCGGTGGTTATAAGCCACTGGCATACCTTTCAAGAGGTACCATTTGCCAAGGAGGGTATACTGGTCCAAGAAAACTAAGAATTTCATCTAAAAAAGATCAAGGCTGATTTTCATATGCTACAGATTGCAAAAATATATTTAGAAATATAATGGCTGGTTAAATACAACAAGTACCGATTACACGAAGAGAAATCCCGTCGTGAAACGGTTATGCACTGATCGGTTTCATATAATAACTCGAATTATTTATGATTAAAAAAAACTTTTCGCCTGAAGAGACAGAAAGGTAGAGGCATTGCGACCATGCAATGGCTGCTTCGAATTGATTCACCGCGGTCGGTGTGGTACTGCGGTTATTTTCAGTACTGCAGAGCAGCTTCCACTTCAATAACGGCCCATTTCAGTTGCATTTTAAGGATAGCTCTACCTGTCTGAAGTAATGGCCCCTGTGTCATGAAAATAGTGATAGTGGCATCGCCTGATGGCCATCAGGCACAAAATCTGCCATTCAATGCAGCTGTTTTGTATGAATCACCGGATTCTAACCAAATAGATTTAAAATTGATCAACACGAATGTTCAGTGACTTTTTTATGCGCATGCCACGTGAAATCCAGGTATAAGCAACGAAAAGCATGCTTTTTCCGCAAAGTTATTTTTTCTTTACACGATTGGAGGTTTCTGTACAATTTAGCGGGTATTTGAACCTCCATCTCCTGGTTCTTGTATAATTCAAATCGTAAACTTAATTTTGTAGTGTATTTTCATAGTAGGTGGAATAAAATAATGCTTTATACGTTAGAGACCTTCAGCTTTTTTTTAAATCTTTTGAAAATCTGTTCTTCTTTATCTTTACCGTCAGTAGCATTGGAAACTTGCTTTGGCATGTTTTCCATCGTGATTTCAACCATCTAGTCTCTAGAAGTTCTTCAGAGGTGTTGTGTGCTGCAATTTTCTTCTGAGTTTCTGGATTCATCATCACATTTTCTCGCCAGACATCGTCTTGGTATCCCCGCCTTTTTTCTTACCCTGCCATTTTTATTGACACAATTACAACAACATGATTCTCGTCTATAACATGTATATGAAGCTCAGACTCTCATGAAAAGAGCGTAGTTGGGAATAACAAATTGATGAAATTACAATCTGAATTTTTCCATCTCGCCGGATAGCATGCCAATGAAACTTCGTTTGAATGCATTAGATTGGCTCAAGTGCAAACAATTGACGTATATTCTCATTTCGAATCGGTTAAAAATTCCTCGAGAATATTGCGAACGCAGGTTTCAAAATTGGTGAACAACTGAAGGGAAAAGGGCGTTGAACCATAGCTGCAGATCAGAATGGTTGAAACGCGAGAGACGAATACATGTTCTGCGGTGCACGACATTTGCAATTTTAGTACGAATTAGCATCGGCTAGTTCCTCTTCATCATGCGCATCGAAAGTCTCGAGGAGGCTCATCGGAGAGAATCGGGAAAGACCTTCCAATGTTTTTCTACCACTATCATAAAGGGAAGATTTAATCCTCCCAAAGTAGCTTTCACTGGTCAAGTCCCTTTGATTATCGGAGCTGACTTCCGGGTTCGCAGGATTGTCTTCAAAGCTTTCGATCACCTGTAAAGTGAAACCCAAAAGTAAACCCATATTATTAAAAAATGTTCCTACTGAATGCTATTTTTCCGTTTCATCCGGGAAACGGATGTTTTCTAGGTGCTTCGCATTCTAGGTTAGTGTTCCCCAACCTTTTTGGGCCCATAGATCAGCAAATTTCCATAAATATTTTGAAAGAATGACAAAGTTTGATGAAATTTTTGCAGATGAAAAACCAATTTTTGCTTAAAAGCTTTTATGGCAGGCATTTAAAAAGTTTTGGCAAAAATTGAGTTAAAAATCAATAAATCAAAGATTTCAAAAAATTAGAAAGTTTGGCTTGAAGAAAGATTTCTCATAAAGAAAACTTGAAATAATATTTTTCAGAATTTGACAATTTATCTGACATGTCATTAGGAGAAAATACAACTTTCTTTTTTTCATCAGATGATTCAAACTGCCATTGACTTTCCGAAATTTCAGGTAAAGATAACTAACTTCATTTCTAATTTTTGTCAAATGTTTTATTGAAGAAAATTTCCCGTGGACCAGCAAAAGCTTCTGCCAACCAGCATCTGTCAGACCTCCCTAAGTTAATACAATGTTAATATCTCATTGGTAAATGGCTGATGAAATGTGTACAGGGATTTAAGCTAAAATTTGCAATGGCATTCATGTTCCATGATTGAATGTGGGATTCAAACTTTTGAATTCCTCCTAAACACTAAATGAAACTTCCGATCACAGTTTAATCATGTGAATTATCTGAGGATTGATTTTATATCTCTAAGAAAAAAAACCGTTTTGAAGTGAGCAAAGAAAATGCAAAAACTTTTCAGAAAAATTACAAGGATCGACACTAACCAGCGATCCCGCTTTGCTCGGTATTTTTTCTCCAGAAGGTGTTGCTGCTGTTGTCATTTCTGGTTCCTTTATCAACTTGATAGCACTTGATGTCATGTCAGTTACTGAGATCAGCGCGGGATTACTGATTGCTGTAAGAATCAATTGGCTGGTTGTCCCACTGCTGCTCAAAGTTGTTGCTGCGCCTCGGTTTGATGTAGTGGAGGAAATATTTTGGCTCATTGATTGCACCTGATTTTGTGATTGTTGCTGTCAAAAAAAAAGATAGGGAAATAGATTTTTCTTCAAAATATACGTTAGTCAACAATTGTTTGCTACATTTTCAAAACCATCCCTTCATTCCCTGAATTTTCAAAGTATAGTTGAACCTTGATAACTCAAACCTCTCTAAGTTGAATACCTCATCACTAAGTCAATTTTTTTTCAAGTCCCCACCTGAATCCCCTTAGAATCAATGACCTCCCTATAATTTGAAGGTTTTCCTACTCAGACCTCCATAACTGGAAGTTTCTGGAGGCCTTTTGGCCATAATTTTATTGACACAGGAAAGAGAAAAGCACTAGAAGAAGAAAGGAAGTGTTCTGACTTTTAAGAGGAAGTGAAAAGCTAAATGGGAAAATGAGTGCTTGCCTCCTAGTTCAGCATCCTGTAAACCCATTGAAGAAGCAATTTAAGGCCCAGAATATCAACATTTAAAATATCCTGCAATTCTTCTATGTTTCCAACAAAAAAATGCTTTTTTATTTAACTCAAAACTTTCATAATTTAAAACCTCTATTATAAGTCAAAACCTCCCAAAGTCAATTTGTTGTATGCTGGTTCCTTGAAATTCAGCTTACAGAGGTTTGACTGTAGTTCTCTATTTATTCACCACCAGTTGCCATGGCTCAAATCATTAACGCAATTTTAGAACATGGTTCTGGAAAGTAATTCAACTGAAAAAAAATTTAGTAGATTAAAAAATTAATCTAAAAAACCACGAAATAGAGAACTACAGTCAAACCTCTGTAAGCTGAATTTCAAGGAACCAGCATACAACAAATTGACTTTGGGAGGTTTTGACTTATAATAGAGGTTTTAAATTATGAAAGTTTTGAGTTAAATAAAAACGTGTTAATAAAATAGCATTTATTCAAAACTGAAAAACTGCTAATACTGTAAATTGAAATTGGAAGCCAATGAGATGCTTTTAATATTTCAAGAACAACGAGTGGATTTTATGCAGAACAACCCCGGAATATTTTCTGGTTACAGTTTCAGTAAGCCTAATATAATCCAAAACAATATTTTTGCAGCAATCTCTTTCATGCGAAGCACGACCTGCCATCGTAGAAATGACGCGTTTTCAATTGAACCGGAATTTCATGAAGTCACTGAGTCTGTGAATGATACATGCAAGGCCATCGCATTGAATTTCATGAGAAACACTCACACTTGACGCGTTGACCATTGGCTGTTGCTGTGGCTGGTACTGTTTGTTTTGGTCAACCTCTTCAACAGCAACTGGATCACGCATAGACCAGTCAATCGACTGCTCTTCAAGCTGCAAATGTCCAGCTGCAGGATCCGATTCGACGTTTCCCTCGTGATCTTGCAATCTTGACATGTGATATTCAGGCAGAGATTCTTTCAATGATATTGAAGTTTCCACAGCATCCCGTGCAGCATGCCCGAAGAGCCTCATTCCCATACTCTCTCTGCCAATTCGTTCCACTTCTGACTGACTCTGGTCATTCCCGAAGTCCTCTATTTCGCTCCGAGAAATAGCATAAGCAGGTTTGGCTTGTGGGATTGGAGCTATTATTTGTTGGCCGGGTGCCGTCATCTCCACCATGCTGATGGCATTTGGAGCACCAACAGTTTCTTGGAACAGCTTGATGGTCGGGGGCAGCGTTTGGGCATTTTGAATGACCGCCGAGCTTGGCTGCTGAATCGTGCTCATTGGGACTCCTGGAGACGCCGAAGAAATTCCTGACGACGTTTGCATTGGGATTGAGGTGTTCATCAAGGCTGGTTTGGTTGCAGCTGATGAAGTGGAGGATGCAGTCGCAGGCATGGATGGATCAGATTTAGTGGAGAATGGAGCAGCAGAGCTTCCAGGCGATGATTGTTGGGCTTGAGTTGCGGGTTGGATGAAAGCTGTACCCCGAGAATTTTGAGACGTGCTGCTTGGTGATGTTGACGTCGCCATCATTCCTTCGCCAGCTTTAGACACGTTCTGACCTTAATTTTTTTAAATGAAGGAATGCGGTATTTACTGAACAGTGCCCGAGAGCGAATAGTGGGAATACAGTTCCTAGCAGAAAATTTGGTGGACATTTTTTCTAGTACGAAGTGCACCCACATGTTGTTCATCACCACAACTTGTGATACTGTACTTCTAAAACGTTTGTTAATAAAATTACAAATTTAATTTTTATTTTTATACAAAATAAAAGAAGGGGGTCTGGTATTTGCTGCAAAAAGTTCGGTCTATGAAATACAGTATATTCATTTATTGCACATTCAAGAGAAGTAACTTCATTTCACGTCACTGCTGGGGCAGGGCTGTAGAAATAATTACTTCTTGATCTAGTTTCTCTTAATGGGTAATATTGAGGCAGAATGAAATCTTCCTGCAGAAAAGACGTTTGCTGCATTATAATTTTATTTTGGTAAAACCTCAACGGCTCAGGATAACACCCTTTTTTTCTGGATTTTTGGGGGAAAATGTGAGAGTGTTGCTTGAGTAAATACATTATACCAAATGGACAAGAACTTCCCTTAACATTTGCAAACAACGCAGGACGATTTTTGGGTTTCTTCGTGAAAATAACTGGCAGAATTTATTTTTAAATTTGCAACTACACATTCCTTGGATTTTTCTCATATTGTATCTCTCATATTTTGGAGGGGGAAAATTGACAGGGACGCTGGTACAATTTCAAGAGCCAGTCAGCACAGTGTGTCTTTCCCTGTCAGCTAATCTATTTCACAAACTATTTTTTGCCGTTTCATCTGCTTGCTGGATTTAAAAAAAAAACTGATACAAGCGAGCTGATTCAGCGACAGAAGCAAAGCTTGTGGTCTTACTTGCCTTACAAATTTTTCTTGCGCTTATCCTTCGTATCACCAACATCATACGTTATTTACCTGTTCCGAGTTGGGTTTGTGACTGCTGCTGAAGAGATGATGACATCGTGGGACCAGGGGTAGTGAAAGATGACCCAGATGAAGAACCATATGCTTTTCCGTCTGTGCTACTGAAGAGGCCACCCTCTGTCAGTTTACCTGTAGCCGTTGAGATTTCTATTGGCCGAGTGCCAATGGAAGCTTTCGTACTGGATGCTTCAACAGTGACTGACTCTTTGTTTGTTGCAACTGGGGATCCCGGAAAAGTTGAATTGGTCCCAAGCATTACTGACGACTGCGTGCTACTTCTAATCGTCATGTCGACAGTTGAACTTTGCGTCACTTGTGCATCTGTCACTGATGATTGATGATGTCGTGAACTGGAAGTCAAAAAGCTCATTCTGGTTTCCGCAGTCGTTGGAACATTGACTGTAGAGCTCTGACTCTTGCTGCTGGTCTCTTTCACTTCATTGGTAACATTGTCAGATTTGGCAGGAGTCATGGTTGTCATACTGAAAGGCGTGGAATTGACAGAAGCTGTGGATGATGACATCGGCCCTTTTGAGGTGAGTGAGTCCGGAATCGTTTTCATTGACCAAGTTGTGGAAGGACCAGCGGGTGGAGTTCCAGAAGATGCAGAGGTACCCATCATTGTAGGCAATGGGTTAGATGTGACTGATGCTTCAGAGCTTGATGATGTGGAGAATCTTGAGCTAGGCATGGCAGTTTGTGATGTGGGAACCATTGTGAAGCTTGCGGGCGAACTTGAGGAGAATGCGAAAGTTAACGTGGAAGAAGGAACCATTGACATCTTCGAAGTCAAAGAATCTGAAGATGAAGTTGTTGATGGTGCGTATGAGGTGTATGAAGTTTCTTGTGAGGTCAGGACGGGGGTTGATTTTGCTGGTGCAGTAGATGGGTTGCCTGTGGTTGTAAATGGAGACTGCGTAGTTGTGATGTCTCTTTGTGACCCAGTTTCACCTGCATTGGTGTCAGGACGTCTGACAGGAGTCAGACTAGCCTGGCTGCTTGTGGATGAGGTTAAAACTGCGGTCAATGGCAAATACGAGGTTGTAAAGAGGGTTCCCTGGGTGTTCATTGCTGAGGAACTTCCTCTGAACATATCTGTGGTGCTGATCGGAGATGTTAATGGCTGCTGCGTATTCGTCAGCGTCATGCCATTGGTTTTTGGGCTCCATTCTGTGCTTGATTTTGGAGAAGTGACCAGGTTTGCACTGGTTCCAACTGAGACAGTATTCGTAGAAAACACTGATGTTCCCCATGTCATTTGGGGGTTAGTGGACATCGAATTTCCCCGGGTACTGATTGAGCTTGCTGAAGACATAGTCCTGTAGCCACTCGTTGTTGGCATCATGGTGGAAGGCCAAGGTGTTGATGGGTTCATGGCTCGAGTTGTAAAAACGATTCCAATAGATATGGTCGCTGATGAGCAGGTGTTATTTGCTTGTACCAATCTATTACGGGAGACTGCAAATGAATATGCTGAGAACCCCAGTGGGAGTTTAATGCATGGTGTTAGTTCAGAGCTTGAGGATGGTTCGTCGGGTTTTGTGGTGTTCAGGTAGCCAATTTTTGCGAAGACCATCGGCCATTGTTGCTGCACCTGGAGAAGGATTCAGTGATTGAATTTTTCCATGAACTTCGTACACCGAAAACCCGATTTCCCCTCAATTCAGTAACCGACTTATGCAGAATGGACTTGTCATTAAAGTGTTGCTAGAAAAACTGCATTCATAAAAATCAGTTTAAACTCATGAAAAGAAGACTGCTGATGATATAAAAGTACAAATTTTTAAATTATGTGAAAATTTTCTCAAATAAAAGTTTTAAAGATACTCGCATGTCATTTAAAAGCAAAATTTTGAGAAAGATGTGCACCCCTGACGAAAGTTATTTCCCGGGGCCAAATGAATTTACCAGAAGTGAGACAAAACATTCTGAAAGGAATATTTGTGGTTTTGGTCTCCCAGGAAAATGTTGAGGATGAACTTGGTTTTATGGTAAGTTCGAATATATTGAGCATGGGTCCTCCTGAAAGTTTTTCCGAGATCAAGCATTTACATTTTTGCCGCATTTAAACGCCAGCTTCAATTAATCCTAAAAAATCGGTATCTCCACGAATATACAGGTTCTGGTATCTCTATAGACTGTAATCCATTGAACTGTGAGCTGATGAATGTGTCGGTTGTTTGATGCTTGTTTGTCTGTTTTAAGGATTCAATTTTTACTACCCCGGCAAAGATTACGGAAGGTTCAGGGGTAAATTTTCAAACGATTCAATTGTATAGTGCGATGTTTCAGTGAACACGACAACAAATATTTTAAACGCTGTAGCATGAATTACGCAAAGGTTTATAATGCTAATGAAAATCAGTAATCAGCCATGATAAGACCAGTTACTGTAGAAGAGAATCCCTAAGAGCATGAATTGCATTTACTTGAAGGAGATAATTCTTAAATGGGAAAGAAATTTATGATCATGTGCAGTACAGAGGACAAGAGGAAATGAAAGAAGATTTTTTTTTCGTAGCACACTTGGGTTTGTGGGAAGCACCCCAAAACGAAACAAAATTGCAAATGCCTTGTTTCCCTCTCGGGATATTCTTCAAATGGACTCATCGACTTTATTTATACGTTATTATTACAATATGACTGCTGTTCAGTTTCTTAGACAGTTCATCAGAAATCCGCACATCATGAGAACACGGTACTAGTACCCCATATTTTTACAGCAATACTCTATTACCAATGCGGAAATTCCCAAGTAAAAGCTAGGTCATAGGAAACCCCTCAGAATAATATGGCGAGATATAGGCTTTCATTTGCCGGCAGACTTTTCAGTTTGATCTGCTCTTCCCTTTTTAGACCGCTGAGCAATCTTCGATATACCGTAAGTATAAGGACACGTGTCTTCATATCGAAGACTGTTCCTTACCATTGATACTGAAATTCGTGAATAGTATGCTGCTTGGAAAAAGTTTCCATGAAATCAAAAATGTGGTCATTGTTCAATCAGATTTTTCTGAGAATTTTTTAAAACTTATGATATTATCAATGGCGTTCCAAATGATCTGGAGACAGCGAAGAGACATGTATATGTCGTCTCTTCGCTGTCTCCAGATAATTCGGAAGAATTATTTCCGAAAGAATTGCTAAGAATTTTTAAAATTTATATCATCAAAGGCGTTCCAAATAATCAGGAAAGAGAAATGTGCATGTATCTTCCTGTCTCCAGATTATTCGGAACGTCTTTGATATTTTTATAAATATTGAAAATTCTCAGCAAAATCTAATCGAACAATGACCACAATTTTTGAATGCACGGAAACTTTTTTCAAGCAGCATATTCGCAAATTTCAGCAGTAATAGTCCTCAGACATTGACCTCAAATAAGGGATTAATGATAAAAAGTTCGCAAACCATTGAGAAAGAGGATGAAAGTGCTTGAGAAACTCCGAATGTTAAAGAAACGTAACATAAATTTAAACACACTACCAACACAGAAAAAAAGCGAACTCTTCCTTAGAATAGTTATCTTTCTTCTGTTTCCAGAAGAATAACTTTCTTCAGGTTGTTCGCAAGTTTTTGACTGCCTCAAATGACAGATTTTTGGACAACTTTATAGACTTCTGAGAAACCCCATGTGCAATATACAAGTACTTGTAAACATTCACAATATATATATATATATTATGGTTGTTAGGAGTATACAAATGCAATATACTATTCTCATAGATTTTTTGGTTCGATGGCTAAAATTTCCCCTGCAGTTTTTCGCTACAACAAAAAACGTCCAGAATTGTCCGGGACCTTCCCATACCTTCACACAAATGGAAAAAGAAGTTTAAAATGTTTTACAGATAAATTAAATTGGTAAAAAAAAGTTCTGTTATACTGTATAGGCATTTCCACACACATTCGGAAGCAGTTTGAGAACTGAATTGGGTGATAAAGCACATTAAATTGTCTTTCTTTTTTGATCAGGGTTTTGACCGATTCATCTCACATCTTTTCTATTTTTCCTCATCACATATCCCTTGAAAGAAGTTTGGAATCAAGACCGAACAATTTCACGTTAGTTGACATGAACTGGGATGCTCACCATTGTTAAATACTCAGGCGAAATCAGATCCGCGCTCAAGAATCTTGGCAAAAAACTCAAAGCCACGAAAAACGGACTCATGATTCCAGCCGATCTCGCACTTTTCCAGCCCATCACTGCGAAATTTAGTGCTTCAAATTCCTATTAGATTTCGTACGAATTCCGAATGAAAAACCATTCCTGCGCGTCCAGCAAGCAAGAAGTTTAAAAGAATAATCGAAGGAAGTAAAAATTAGGAGTATTTCAGCTCCAAAAAAGGGAAACACAGGATTACTTGGTTATTGTCAACAGCAAACTTTTGAAGCGTAAAAAATGTTTTGCTCTGTTTTCACGAATAGTGAATTAATTAATTTCTAATTTATAAATTATATCCCTATCGGTTCAGGGATGAATTAAAAGGCTACGGGTTCTTCACAGTTCCTCGAACCTTCGCCGTAGTTGGAATGGAAAAAAGCGCTTCAGCCCACATGGCGTCTGCCGACCGGCGGATCAAACCACTGACAATTTCAATGATACATGAAACACAGGCTTTGATGGGAAGGTACATGGTGTCCTCAAATTTTCAATTTGTGGAAAATACCACTGACATTTCTTCCTATGAATATGAAAAGAAAAACAAATGAAATATTTATCTCAGCAGTAAGTGGGTTAAAGTTTCATTCATAGATGTTTAATACTAGCCCACTAGCCTGACTAAAGTCTGATTCCCCAAGCAAATCTTATTATATGAATGAATGAATGAACAGAAAGCTTCATTTTCCGCTTTTCAGCATTCACAAGGTTCAATCAACATTTCCACATCCAAACCCCCTCCCCACCCAACCCAAATCCATTCAAAGACATTCAATTACTTCAGAGTGGGAAAAAAAGAAATTAGATGCAAATGGATAAAAAAACTAAGAGAAAATACATTCCACAAAATACAACTGCAAAACTGATATGTATGCCTACACAGGTTCTCATAGTATTGTATATGAGAACCCACTGTGATACAGAACAATTATGTGAGCCCCATTTTTCCAAATTATCTCTTATAAGTGAATCCTTTTCTGTTCTGAGTTGGCTGGAATAAATTTCCGAAAACGTTGTCTGCATTGCAAATAAACATTTTACACAGAACATTTGTACGGCATTGGAAACGCAGTGGAGTATAGAAAAACATGGAACTTGTGATAACACTTTGAAACGCCGTAAAATTAAAGTTTTATCATGCATTTCGAACCATCAGAAAACGGCAAGAATAATTTTCAAGAAACGTAGACGTTGCTCCAGACTATTCCTGACCATTTTTGAATGTCGTTCCTCGCCAATAACCGATCAATAACTCAAAAAAATATTTTGATTTTCCCAAATATCAAACTTACGTAGCATTTTATTAAATCTGTATATTAGTAAAATAATCTCTGTTTCTCGGGGGATTTCCATCCCGGTTTACTCATGAAATTGGCCGTAGGGGTTTATTTCTTGGGCACCCTCGATTACCTCGAATAACTGTGAATCACTGATGATGTTTGGGGAATTGCCTAGCAACGTTATTGGCTTGTGTCGTAAAATCACGCTGAAGGCCATCCAGCTCATTTATACATAAAGGAGGAAGAAGCCCAGCGCACCCTCGAAACCCTGGACACATATTGGAAAATTATGACGATTACAAGGGGATTATCTGCTGTTATCGAAACGTAAACGAATGTTAAATGGTTATGCTGATTTAAATGTGGAATGAGCTCCAGAAGAAGAGAGAAAATTGCATTTGAACTTTTCCTTTTTCATAAAATGTGAATGCTTGAAAATTAAATTTGGTTCTACCATTCTTGTTGGAGAGAGGAGGCTTTTTTCCACCCCGTGACAGAGCCACGGATTTTTACGTTCATCTCTCGTTTTAGAGGTTTGAAGGAAGATCTTCTTTGAATCTACTTGAGTATTCTGTGATGGCTCATCATTTCTCAAACTATTGCAGTGGTCTTGTTTTATTTCTTGAGCTGTCCTGTAATATTTTTTGATTGCCTTTTTGCTGGATGTGCACAAGTACTACAGAGACATTCAATTTTTTGGGCACGTTTTCCTTCAGTTTGAATGCTCCTCTTTGTGTAATACAGGTGGTACCTCGCAATTCGACCCCCCGAAATTCGACGGTCAAATTTGCAGGGAGGTCAACTTGCAATTCAACCCTTGCTCCGCAATTTGACCTGCTTTGGCCACTATTTTTGCGTTTTTTAAGTTATAATTTTAAATTTCATATTGTCTCGCAATTCGACCGATTCGCAATTCAACCCAAAGCATACTTGATGAGTTCGACATCATGTCAGATGATTCATACGCTTCGCAATGCGAGATATGACACCTCAGCACAATACAATGTAGGATTTATAAGCGAAATTTTTGAAGCAAGTGACATCTAGTTTTTAATAAAAACCTCCTTGCGCCGATGTGGTAAGAAGAAGATAGGTGTCGCTAGCAGAACGATGCGCGCTGCTGTTCAACCATCCAGCTGCCGGGTAAACCGGGATACAGTTCCATACTTCCATCTCTTTTCTTGGCTATTGCTTTAATCTCTGATTTCCGTCACATAATGTTCAAGTCGAGGCACTTGTGTAAATCCAGCTTGGATTCACTGTACCTTTCTGATGTGGCCTTCCAGACATTTTTTTCACCACATTTTCAAGTTCTCAAGACCAAATTCAAACCAATTGCAGTTGTAGAAGTCAACATGATCCACACCAAACAATTTTTGCCTCAAATCATTCAGCGAAAATTCTTTTGGAAACAAAGTGGAAACTTTTGGGGCATATATTTTGGCCGAGAATTTCATCTTCTTCTCAATGGTTACCTGCGTACCCCCAGTAATATACATGCACCACACGTTGAAAAGCCCTGACTTAGAGGTTACTGAGACAAAAAAAGCTTTTCTGGTACCCTGCGACACAGCTACAGAAATAGGTAATGTCACATAAAAGCTATTGTCATCTCTCGACTATCAAACCTTTGTATTCCAGCGTACAGTTCGGTGGATCATTGGCGTCATCTTCATGAATCCTGTTGAATGGTGACAAGGGATGATGTCAAAGAAGTACCACTTTCGGCGACACAAAGCGTTACGGTGGTTGTATATCGTTTATCGCCCGGGTAAATACTGTAGTGAGACACATCCTGTTGTGGCAGGTAGGGATGAGGAAACATTGAGGAACATGGAAACAGTCACACAATTGTTGGACGCTGTTTTCCCTCAACTTGCCTTTAGCTTTCTATCTTATTTCAATGCCGGACAAATTCCATTTTATTTACCAAATCGTCCATCAGATAAAAAATTTTCAAGGTTCTAACCAAAATTTCGCGAACACAATCTTAAAAGAATAAAAAAAATTGAAATTCAACACGGCAAATTACTTCTTTTATAACGCAGGGTTTCTGCAGTTTTCTTTTTCAATTAATGCTTATACAGTACTGGAATTTTAAATTCCTTGGATAAACGTTGTTCCTGTTCATTTGCTGTGGGAAACGTGTTATTCTACTGCAAAATTTCTCTGTTATGCTTCAGCACGTCAATTTATCCAGGAAACACTTCGGTTTGAAGAAATCTACTTCTTATTTCTGAAGAAAATTACTGCATCAAGATTTCAAATGGGAGTCTCAATCTAAATTTTTTTTGGGTACACTGGAGTCCACATCCAACATGTATTCAACGATATGCGTGTAAACCTCAGAGCAAAATTTATTTTTCTGGTGAAATTACAACAGATGAGAGACAATTCAACAGTCCCAAAAAGAAATGCATCGGCTCAAGCAAAGTGCACACAATTCCAACATTCCTGAAAGTGCAGAGAAGAAAGGTTGCATCGTATGCATATTATGTTTTGTATTTCAATTCCTCATTTATTTCTCTTCTCAATAAAAAAAAACCGCGCTTGTCAATATTTTATTTCTTACGAGTGCGTGTTTTTTTTCTTATTTAAAAACCCTTGCGTGTGGGTTAGTAGAGCGAAGATGGAGGGAGAAGCGGCTTTGAGAAAAGCCCATGTCAAGATCTCTGAATTTTTAGTGATGGACGTCAAGTTTATCTGACAGGAGGCTTGTCAATGAAACATTGGGGGGGGGGGGGCTTGCCATTATATCCAGATATCATCTCCAGTTGTGCTCGGGAAATTCAGAATGATCATACTGACGTCGATGATCCCTTTGAGATGCGTAGACGACGATGCGGAAGAAAAACGAAGCCTGGACACATGGCATATGTTCGGACGGGAGGCTGGCGTAATGATTCCCGACGACAACGGAAACCGTGTTTCCGGAATGCGACATGCATCAATTAACATGGTCTGAATTCTGGCAGTATTCCAGGATATATTGAGCTGTTTGGAAACCCATTCTCGCGTCCGACTGTGAACGACGTCCGTGTCGCGAGTTGTCACAAAGGCCAGTTTCCGTGGCTTGGTGATGTGGGACGATCAATGAATCTCGTCCATCTACCCTCGGGGGGTGGCATTCCAGATTTCCAGACCGTCGATTTCCACCCTCTGTCGCTCCACGCGTGTGTATGGCCGGCGGGCAAGGCAACAACAACAACAGCGTCCGTGGCGATCGAACCCCGGCGTCGACCAGCTGGGCATGAAGAGGACTTGAGTCGACAATTCCGACGCTGTTTCGAACCGTTTCAGGTCGAGTAACTCGCCTCTTATTCTTCCACTCGTTCGAAGGCGTCGACGGTTCTCGCCGATAGGCATTCCGGGCAACACAATGAAACCCCTTTAAAATTCCATTCCCACAACTTCAATCCGCGGCGACGCTTCAAAAATCACGGGTCCACTGGAGTTTCTTCCGTCGCTGTCACTTCCTGAAGACCTCTATCGCGGTCGAGTCGATTCTTTATCTGATCGCAATGTTCACGCTTCAAACAGCTTTAAGTATATGCGGATGCACGATGCAAAATCAAGTTTTTCCCAACCGAGCAGATTCACCTCCATTTTTCCCATAACTTCAAATTTATCCAAATGCCCCGCACGGCAACTAATGTGAGTTTGATGTCCCATAGAAGGATGGATTTCGAAGAAATAAGCTGAAGACCTTGTGCTTTAAATAAACTTTCATTGCTATTTTGTTTTCAATGTCAGGAAATGAGTGGGTGTATGCATACACGTCAGATGTCCAGTTGTATTTTGTGGATTGTATTTTCTTTTATTTTTGTCATCAATTTGTGCCTTGTTTCCTGCTTCAAAGTGATTAAATGTCTTTGAGGGGATTTGGGTTGGGTGGGGATGAGGGGGTTTGGATGTGGAAATCTTGATTGTACCTTGTGAATGCTGAAAAGTGGCAAATAAAGTGTTCTGTTCATTCATTCAAAGAAATAAAACAAGGGCAATCAGCCGGTTGCAGCCTGGAACCGTTACACCTTGAATATACTGTATGTTCATAGTTTTGCAATAGTTTTTTGTCAGTTTTATTCCATTCTAGAAAATTCAGAATTTAAAGCCTTCAGCGCAATAAAATGAACACACACCAAGGAATCACTTCAAATAAAACAGAACATCAAATTTGGGCAAAAATCAGACAAAG